CTTCATCCTTCATCTTTAAATCCTGAATCCTTGAGTTAAAGAAATAGTTCATTTGTATTTAGGATTAAATACAGTTCGACTGGTACAATTGCTCCACGTCCACTCAATAATGCTTCATTAATATTACTCCTTCATCCTTCATCCTTCATCTTTAAATCCTGAATCCTTGAGTTAAAGAAATAGTTCATTTGTATTTAGGATTAAATACAGTTCGACTGGTACAATTGTTCCACGTCCACTCAATAATGCTCCCTTAATATTACTCCTTCATCCTTCATCCTTCATCTTTAAATCCTGAATCCTTGAGTTAAAGAAATAGTTCATTTGTATTTAGGATTAAATACAGTTCGACTGGTACAATTGTTCCACGTCCACTCAATAATGCTCCCTTAATATTACTCCTTCATCCTTCATCCTTCATCTTTAAACACAGAATTCTTGAGTTAAAGAAATAGTTCATTTGTATTTAGGATTAAATACAGTTCGACTGGTACAATTGCTCCACGTCCACTCAATAATGCTTCATTAATATTACTCCTTCATCCTTCATCCTTCATCTTTAAATCCTGAATCCTTGAGTTAAAGAAATAGTTCATTTGTATTTAGGATTAAATACAGTTCGACTGGTACAATTGTTCCACGTCTACTCAATAATGCTCCCTTAATATTACTCCTTCATCCTTCATCCTTCATCTTTAAACACAGAATTCTTGAGTTAAAGAAATAGTTCATTTGTATTTAGGATTAAATACAGTTCGACTGGTACAATTGTTCCACGTCCACTCAATAATGCTTCATTAATATTACTCCTTCATCCTTCATCCTTCATCTTTAAATCCTGAATCCTTGAGTTAAAGAAATAGTTCATTTGTATTTAGGATTAAATACAGTTCGACTGGTACAATTTTTCCACGTCCACTCAATAATGCTTCATTAATATTACTCCTTCATCCTTCATCCTTCATCTTTAAATACAGAATCCTTGAGTTAAAGAAATAGTTCATTTGTATTTAGGATTAAATACAGTTCGACTGGTACAATTGTTCCACGTCCACTCAATAATGCTTCATTAATATTACTCCTTCATCCTTCATCCTTCATCTTTAAACACAGAATTCTTGAGTTAAAGAAATAGTTCATTTGTATTTAGGATTAAATACAGTTCGACTGGTACAATTGTTCCACGTCCACTCAATAATGCTTCATTAATATTACTCCTTCATCCTTCATCCTTCATCTTTAAATCCTGAATCCTTGAGTTAAAGAAATAGTTCATTTGTATTTAGGATTAAATACAGTTCGACTGGTACAATTTTTCCACGTCCACTCAATAATGCTTCATTAATATTACTCCTTCATCCTTCATCCTTCATCTTTAAATACAGAATCCTTGAGTTAAAGAAATAGTTCATTTGTATTTAGGATTAAATACAGTTCGACTGGTACAATTGTTCCACGTCCACTCAATAATGCTTCATTAATATTACTCCTTCATCCTTCATCCTTCATCTTTAAATACAGAATTCTTGAGTTAAAGAAATAGTTCATTTGTATTTAGGATTAAATACAGTTCGACTGGTACAATTGTTCCACGTCCACTCAATAATGCTTCATTAATATTACTCCTTCATCCTTCATCCTTCATCTTTAAATACAGAATTCTTGAGTTAAAGAAATAGTTCATTTGTATTTAGGATTAAATACAGTTCGACTGGTACAATTGCTCCACGTCCACTCAATAATGCTTCATTAATATTACTCCTTCATCCTTCATCCTTCATCTTTAAATCCTGAATCCTTGAGTTAAAGAAATAGTTCATTTGTATTTAGGATTAAATACAGTTCGACTGGTACAATTGTTCCACGTCCACTCAATAATGCTCCCTTAATATTACTCCTTCATCCTTCATCCTTCATCTTTAAATCCTGAATCCTTGAGTTAAAGAAATAGTTCATTTGTATTTAGGATTAAATACAGTTCGACTGGTACAATTGTTCCACGTCCACTCAATAATGCTCCCTTAATATTACTCCTTCATCCTTCATCCTTCATCTTTAAACACAGAATTCTTGAGTTAAAGAAATAGTTCATTTGTATTTAGGATTAAATACAGTTCGACTGGTACAATTGCTCCACGTCCACTCAATAATGCTTCATTAATATTACTCCTTCATCCTTCATCCTTCATCTTTAAATCCTGAATCCTTGAGTTAAAGAAATAGTTCATTTGTATTTAGGATTAAATACAGTTCGACTGGTACAATTGTTCCACGTCTACTCAATAATGCTCCCTTAATATTACTCCTTCATCCTTCATCCTTCATCTTTAAACACAGAATTCTTGAGTTAAAGAAATAGTTCATTTGTATTTAGGATTAAATACAGTTCGACTGGTACAATTGTTCCACGTCCACTCAATAATGCTTCATTAATATTACTCCTTCATCCTTCATCCTTCATCTTTAAATCCTGAATCCTTGAGTTAAAGAAATAGTTCATTTGTATTTAGGATTAAATACAGTTCGACTGGTACAATTTTTCCACGTCCACTCAATAATGCTTCATTAATATTACTCCTTCATCCTTCATCCTTCATCTTTAAATACAGAATCCTTGAGTTAAAGAAATAGTTCATTTGTATTTAGGATTAAATACAGTTCGACTGGTACAATTGTTCCACGTCCACTCAATAATGCTTCATTAATATTACTCCTTCATCCTTCATCCTTCATCTTTAAACACAGAATTCTTGAGTTAAAGAAATAGTTCATTTGTATTTAGGATTAAATACAGTTCGACTGGTACAATTGTTCCACGTCCACTCAATAATGCTTCATTAATATTACTCCTTCATCCTTCATCCTTCATCTTTAAATCCTGAATCCTTGAGTTAAAGAAATAGTTCATTTGTATTTAGGATTAAATACAGTTCGACTGGTACAATTTTTCCACGTCCACTCAATAATGCTTCATTAATATTACTCCTTCATCCTTCATCCTTCATCTTTAAATACAGAATCCTTGAGTTAAAGAAATAGTTCATTTGTATTTAGGATTAAATACAGTTCGACTGGTACAATTGTTCCACGTCCACTCAATAATGCTTCATTAATATTACTCCTTCATCCTTCATCCTTCATCTTTAAATACAGAATTCTTGAGTTAAAGAAATAGTTCATTTGTATTTAGGATTAAATACAGTTCGACTGGTACAATTGTTCCACGTCCACTCAATAATGCTTCATTAATATTACTCCTTCATCCTTCATCCTTCATCTTTAAATACAGAATTCTTGAGTTAAAGAAATAGTTCATTTGTATTTAGGATTAAATACAGTTCGACTGGTACAATTGCTCCACGTCCACTCAATAATGCTTCATTAATATTACTCCTTCATCCTTCATCCTTCATCTTTAAATCCTGAATCCTTGAGTTAAAGAAATAGTTCATTTGTATTTAGGATTAAATACAGTTCGACTGGTACAATTGCTCCACGTCCACTCAATAATGCTTCATTAATATTACTCCTTCATCCTTCATCCTTCATCTTTAAACACAGAATTCTTGAGTTAAAGAAATAGTTCATTTGTATTTAGGATTAAATACAGTTCGACTGGTACAATTGTTCCACGTCCACTCAATAATGCTTCATTAATATTACTCCTTCATCCTTCATCCTTCATCTTTAAATCCTGAATCCTTGAGTTAAAGAAATAGTTCATTTGTATTTAGGATTAAATACAGTTCGACTGGTACAATTGCTCCACGTCCACTCAATAATGCTTCATTAATATTACTCCTTCATCCTTCATCCTTCATCTTTAAATCCTGAATCTTTGAGTTAAAGAAATAGTTCATTTGTATTTAGGATTAAATACAGTTCGACTGGTACAATTGTTCCACGTCCACTCAATAATGCTCCCTTAATATTACTCCTTCATCCTTCATCCTTCATCTTTAAATACAGAATTCTTGAGTTAAAGAAATAGTTCATTTGTATTTAGGATTAAATACAGTTCGACTGGTACAATTGTTCCACGTCCACTCAATAATGCTCCCTTAATATTACTCCTTCATCCTTCATCCTTCATCTTTAAATACAGAATTCTTGAGTTAAAGAAATAGTTCATTTGTATTTAGGATTAAATACAGTTCGACTGGTACAATTGTTCCACGTCCACTCAATAATGCTTCATTAATATTACTCCTTCATCCTTCATCCTTCATCTTTAAATCCTGAATCCTTGAGTTAAAGAAATAGTTCATTTGTATTTAGGATTAAATACAGTTCGACTGGTACAATTGCTCCACGTCCACTCAATAATGCTTCATTAATATTACTCCTTCATCCTTCATCCTTCATCTTTAAATCCTGAATCTTTGAGTTAAAGAAATAGTTCATTTGTATTTAGGATTAAATACAGTTCGACTGGTACAATTGTTCCACGTCCACTCAATAATGCTCCCTTAATATTACTCCTTCATCCTTCATCCTTCATCTTTAAATACAGAATTCTTGAGTTAAAGAAATAGTTCATTTGTATTTAGGATTAAATACAGTTCGACTGGTACAATTGTTCCACGTCCACTCAATAATGCTCCCTTAATATTACTCCTTCATCCTTCATCCTTCATCTTTAAATACAGAATTCTTGAGTTAAAGAAATAGTTCATTTGTATTTAGGATTAAATACAGTTCGACTGGTACAATTGTTCCACGTCCACTCAATAATGCTCCCTTCACCCCTCTTTTTTAAATCCTTAATCCTTGAGTTAAAGAAATAGTTCATTTGTATTTAGGATTAAATGCAGTACGAATGGCGCAATTGTTCCACGTCCACTCGATAAAGTTACGTTAATATTATTTCTTTGTTCTTAGAATGTTTCTTGATCAATTTATTCTACTTTTAATAACTAAATCACCGGCGCAATTGTCCCACGTCCACACTTTTAAAACCACATCCATACACTACAAATAAATTTTTTTTAAAATTTTAGGTTGTATCTAGAAACAACATTGGTGCCCGCTTTGATGAACGGCATCGCTTTTGTAGCACGAGACAGACCCATCAGTCCCATAACCACGCTCGCGGTCTACCTGATGAAGAACAATTGCTCCAACGACACGGAAGTAGACTCGGAAATCGAGGGTAGAGCGCAGGCCAGCAAAATGAAGAACAAATTGGGCGCCCTATGGTCCAAAGTGGACTTTATGTAGACCCGAAGTCAGTTGGTACTACTGTGAAAATACGTCAGCTGTCACTTGTCTAGGATGCTAGCGCTATCAACTCGTTTTTGGTACAAACCGGCCGTGATTTTGATCTAAAAGTAGATTTTTATAAACTGTTATACGTTGTAATGACAGTTGGTATTAGTGTAAATACGTCAGATGTCACCTGTCAACTATCGTTCGTCAATAATGGCTACCAACTCGCGTTCATTTAAGAATAAATTGAGCGTATTGTTTGACCAAAGTAGGCTATTCCGAACTTTTGTATTCAGCTTTTTTAACTGAAAATACTCTTGGTATTACTGTAAATACGTCAGCTGCCATCTGTCATCATTGCTACCACCTCACATTCCTAACATTTTTGTATACATACTGATTTTTTCTGTAACAGGTACAAAATAAATTAGCGATAATTGATAAGTAAATGGGATTTTCTTTGATTGAACTACATACAGTTGGAATTACTGACAATCTGTCAACTGTCACCGGTGCTACCAACTTACATTATTTAGGAAGGAACTATAAGCCTACTTTACAGGGTATACTTTTACGTCTAATATTTTTGGTATTATTATCAATCTGTCATCTGTCACCAGTTGTACCAACTGTACATGAAATCTGACGTTTACTGTCAGTCGGGTTGAAACTACAATGCGAATATAGTTCAATTTTCTCTGGAGGTTTTTTTGTCTTGTTCTAAATTAGCACATCCTGGAGGTTTTCGCTGGAGCAATGGAGGACTTGGAGGGGAGTTTCACCTTTGAAGAAGACCTGAAGGATCTGGATAAACATACCAATGAGCACCTGGACGCCGCAGAAATCGCCTACAGGACCTGTAGATTGGCGAGTACCATTCACGGTTGCCTGCATTTGTCCCACTTGGCGAAGGTGTCCAAAAACCAGACCTATGTGGACTTGTTGAGCCTGCCGAAAAAGTAAGTTTGTCCTTCTGGATTCTTCACCAGGAAGCTTTTGGTAACTCAACTGGAACTCACCTGGAATCTCACCAGGAGCATTTTTTACTGGAACCCAAACTAAATTTTTCGCCGGCTACTATCGACAATTATCCAGGATATCCCCGCAAGTGTCATCTTTTGATATCCGGAAGTTTTATTGAATACTACATCTGGAAATACTTCACCTTTTGTACCTTCTGTGCCTACTAGAACAATGGACGATTCACCCGAGGAATCCTTTACATTTTGCATCTTCCAGTAACAAAATCTTCCGAGGAATCCGTCACCTTTTGCATCAATTAGTACTAGTAGCAACGCTACATTGGACAATTATTTGGAGAACATCTTACTTTCAAGGAACTACCTGAAGCACTGTAAAGAGCAATTCCTCTGGATATAATCTCTACATTTTACATCTCCTTTATCTAGAGTACCTCTAGAGTACCATATTACCACAGGGAATCCCGCACATTCTGTACTTTTCTGGAACTGTCTGGAGAATTGTAATGGCCAGTTTTTTGGGGAATATCTTCACATTTTTGCATCCCTTGCACCTGCAGCACCATGTTGATCCTGGATCAATTCCCCCAGAGGATCCCTCACTTTCGTATGTCCCAGAACCCCCTGGAGCACTCCAATGGCAATTCTCCGTGATATTCTCCTCCCATTTGGCATCTTCTACACTTGAAGCACGATTTTAACCAAATTTCACAGGGGACTTCCTTACTTTTTGCAACTCTCAGGTACCACCTGAAGCACTGTAATGGACAATCCTACGGCGTATATTCCCCACATTTATACATCTTCACCTGTAGTACTACACTGGCCAATGTTTTGGGAATTTCCTCCACGTTCTATATATTCCAGGAAACACCTGGAGCATTGTAATGGACAATCCTTGGGTGTGTATACACCTCACAGATTTGCATCTCTTTCACCTGGAACACTATACTGATGCTGGATCAATTCCCATAGAGTCTCCTTCACTTCCCCATGTTCCAGGAACCACCTGCAGCACTCCAATGGCTTTTCTTCGTGATATTCTCCTCCCATTTGGCATCTTCTACACTTGAAGCACGATTTTAACCAAATTTCACAGGGGACTTCCTTACTTTTTGCAACTCTCAGGTACCACCTGAAGCACTGTAATGGACAATCCTACGGCGTATATTCCCCACATTTATACATCTTCACCTGTAGCACCACACTGGCCAATGTTTTGGGAATTTCCTCCACGTTCTATATATTCCAGGAAACACCTGGAGCATTGTAATGGACAATCCTTGGGTGTGTACACCTCACAGTTTTGCATCTCTTTCATCTGGAACACTATACTGATGCTGGATCAATTCCCATAGAGTCTCCTTCACTTCCGAATGTTCCATGAACCACCTGCAGCACTCCAATGGCTTTTCTTCGTGATATTCTCCTCCCATTTGGCATCTTCTACACTTGAAGCACGATTTTAACCAAATTTCACAGGGGACTTCCTTACTTTTTGCAACTCTCAGGTACCACCTGAAGCACTGTAATGGACAATCCTACGGCGTATATTCCCCACATTTATACATCTTCACCTGTAGTACCACACTGGCCAATGTTTTGGGAATTTTCTTCCACGTTCTATATATTCTGGATATATACACCGTGTCCCACGTAAGGCGGGCATTAGAACCTTTCGGAGTTCCTGAAAAGTTACAAATCTGAAAATTCAGGAGTAAGGTATATTCAATGTTGTGAGTTTTTCTAAAATATTTTCAACCATATGTGACTTCCGGTTATACCGGAAGTAGATGTCAACTTTGTTATTTCAAATGGAAAGTACCATTTTTGACTTCATTTTTGGATTCTGTGGCCCTTTTTAACTAGACTTTGATAATACAACCATATCTCAAAAATGCATCATTTTTAAGTTATTTAGTTTTTTTCGAAATTTTTTGGAAAAACGGTCGAACGTATTTTCTAGGATATCTCCGTTAATAATGCACCTAGAATTTTAAAATTTGTTATTGATAATGTACAGACACAGTACTAAATGAAACTAAACTGATTTTTCATGGTTCATATACAGGGCGTTTAAAATTATCAGACTAACTTGGCTAATTTCAAGTGGCCATAACTTTGTTATTTCAAATGGATCACCCTGTATTTTTAGGCATTATACAATAGATATTTTTAAGCCCTTTCAATCCATATAAGGATTCTCTATACCTATCTCTTATCAATTTCGAGTAAATTGAAGTTTAATTACATCACTACCAATTTTATTTTAATTTTCTTTTTTTTTCCTTAGTGGGTTATGAAAATTTAATGACAAGTTATTGGTGTGATCAGATAAATCAGTGTTATCGAAAATATTTTATGAATTAAAAAACAAAAAAATTATAAAACTAAAACTATTTTACTTTACTACTGACACTTTTAATACAAATAAAATACACAAATAAAACATATTACAACAAATGTTCAAAATGTCCTCCATTAGCTTCTAAACACTTTAATAATCTTTTTTCCACTTGATCCGTTGTTGCTTTTCTTATAGTCTCAGCATCCAATTCGTTAAAAGCAATTTGTACTTTTTGTTCTAACTCTTCTCTATTGTTTATTTGGGTATTATAAACTTTGTTTTTAATATGACCCCACAAAAAAAATCTACTGGAGTTAGGTCTGGCGATCTTGCGGGCCAAAGCCAAGGGCCATTTCGACCTATCCATCGATCATCAAACAGCGCTGTGATTTCTCGATATATTGCATATGTTGAATGTGCTGGGGCACCATCCAATTGGTACCAAAAATTATTATTTGGCAGTTCATTTATAATGTTTGCCACAACTTCTCTTAGTATTCTACCGTATCTTTCTGATGTCAATTTTTCGTCGTATATGTAGTAGAAAGCTCTTCCGAATCCAATAACTGCAAATACATTAAAGCTGAATTCATATTGAAACTCGGCTTCGCGATGAAAATGAGGGTTAGCGTCTGCCCAGAAATGGCATTGCTTTCTATTGATAATTCCTCGACGTGTGAATTTTGACTCGTCCGACCATAAAATTTTTTGAAAAATTTTGTACAAAATCCAGGAAGAGACCGTCAATGTTTCATTAGAGATGATGAAATTAATGTAATTAATGTACTGGGATATTTTAGTGCTTATCCTCACGCGTCAATAAGAATGGCAGAAGAGCATTTAAATATTAGTAGAGCATCAGTACATCGAATTTTAGCTCGAAATAAATGGCATCCCTACGCTCAAAGAAAAGTTCACGAGTTGCGAGTTGGTGATAATTTAAGAAGAATTGAATATTGCGAATGGCTAATGATACGGATTCAAGATGATCCTGAAATTTTAAACAAAATTTTATGGTCGGACGAGTCAAAATTCACACGTCGAGGAATTATCAATAGAAAGCAATGCCATTTCTGGGCAGACGCTAACCCTCATTTTCATCGCGAAGCCGAGTTTCAATATGAATTCAGCTTTAATGTATTTGCAGTTATTGGATTCGGAAGAGCTTTCTACTACATATACGACGAAAAATTGACATCAGAAAGATACGGTAGAATACTAAGAGAAGTTGTGGCAAACATTATAAATGAACTGCCAAATAATAATTTTTGGTACCAATTGGATGGTGCCCCAGCACATTCAACATATGCAATATATCGAGAAATCACAGCGCTGTTTGATGATCGATGGATAGGTCGAAATGGCCCTTGGCTTTGGCCCGCAAGATCGCCAGACCTAACTCCAGTAGATTTTTTTTGTGGGGTCATATTAAAAACAAAGTTTATAATACCCAAATAAACAATAGAGAAGAGTTAGAACAAAAAGTACAAATTGCTTTTAACGAATTGGATGCTGAGACTATAAGAAAAGCAACAACGGATCAAGTGGAAAAAAGATTATTAAAGTGTTTAGAAGCTAATGGAGGACATTTTGAACATTTGTTGTAATATGTTTTATTTGTGTATTTTATTTGTATTAAAAGTGTCAGTAGTAAAGTAAAATAGTTTTAGTTTTATAATTTTTTTGTTTTTTAATTCATAAAATATTTTCGATAACACTGATTTATCTGATCACACCAATAACTTGTCATTAAATTTTCATAACCCACTAAGGAAAAAAAAAGAAAATTAAAATAAAATTGGTAGTGATGTAATTAAACTTCAATTTACTCGAAATTGATAAGAGATAGGTATAGAGAATCCTTATATGGATTGAAAGGGCTTAAAAATATCTATTGTATAATGCCTAAAAATACAGGGTGATCCATTTGAAATAACAAAGTTATGGCCACTTGAAATTAGCCAAGTTAGTCTGATAATTTTAAACGCCCTGTATATGAACCATGAAAAATCAGTTTAGTTTCATTTAGTACTGTGTCTGTACATTATCAATAACAAATTTTAAAATTCTAGGTGCATTATTAACGGAGATATCCTAGAAAATACGTTCGACCGTTTTTCCAAAAAATTTCGAAAAAAACTAAATAACTTAAAAATGATGCATTTTTGAGATATGGTTGTATTATCAAAGTCTAGTTAAAAAGGGCCACAGAATCCAAAAATGAAGTCAAAAATGGTACTTTCCATTTGAAATAACAAAGTTGACATCTACTTCCGGTATAACCGGAAGTCACATATGGTTGAAAATATTTTAGAAAAACTCACAACATTGAATATACCTTACTCCTGAATTTTCAGATTTGTAACTTTTCAGGAACTCCGAAAGGTTCTAATGCCCGCCTTACGTGGGACACGGTGTATTTCTATGTAATGGACAATCCTTGGGTGTGTATACACCTCACAGTTTTGCATCTCTTTCACCTGGAACACTATACTGATGCTGGATCAATTCCCATAGAGTCTCCTTCACTTCCAGTATGTTCCAGGAACCACCTGCAGCACTCCAATGAGCATTTCATCAACATATCCTTCACACATTTTTACATCTTCTTCACCTAGAGTACCGCTCTCTGAGCAATTCCTCAATGTCCGGTCGTTCCAGGCACTACCTGGAGCAAACGATGGTACCCGTCCTGGCCAATGGGCTGGCGGTGATAGCCAAAGACAGGCCCGTCCAGCCGGTGACTGCGCTTGCGCTGTTCCTCCTGAAGCACGGGATGCTCTACGAGACGGACGTCGAGCGGAAATTCGAGGTAAAGTTCGATCAGGCCGGGAAGGGAACGAAGAACGACAAATTGTCCAAGCAATCCTCGTTTTAATGAAGATTCTTCGAAGATATTGGTTGTTTTCATGTGGCAAAATGGCGTGGTTGTATTTAGACGGGAAGATTCTTCTTTTTGGGGTTCTAGTGGCCTCTGCGCTGTGTACCTATTCAGTCAATTGTATCGTACGTAAATATAATTATAGAGAAGATCTTGGAGTGGTCTTCTTTCTATTGAAATCGTCTTTGAGCAGTGTATGTAGCGAAATGTGTTAGTGTTTAGTGGCTGAAAAGCTTGAACATTTGGGGCTAAAACGAGATAAAGAAGAATAAGAATAATAAAGGAATAAAATGGCGTCGCTTTATTTTGGCGGAAATTCTTCTTTTGGGTCCTTGTGGCCTCTACAAAATAGGTTATCGGTTAATTGTAACAAATTTATTGAAAGAAGATCTTAAAGGGTTCTTCTTTCTATTGAAATCGTCTTGAAATGATGGAATAAAAGGGCATCGCTTTATTTAGGCGGGAAGATTCTTCTTTTCGGGTTCTAGTGGTCTCTACTTATTATAGCTATTCAGTCACTTGTAACACGTAAATACATTAATAAAGAAGACTATAAAGGGTTCTTCTTTCTATTTTATTCGTATTGAAGCAGTCTATGTAACAAAATTGGTAATGTGTTAGAATAGCTTAGAGGTCAAAATGAAGAGATGATGAAGAAAAATAATATAATAAAATAACGTTGCTTTATTTTGGTGGGATGATTCTTCTTTTGGGTTCTAGTGGCCTCTGCGCAGCGTAGCTATTCAGTCAATTGGAATACAATATATTTTAAGAAGATTTTAAATGATTCTTCTTGCTTTTTTAATCATCTTTGAGCTGGCAATGTAGCTGAATAGCTTTTAAACCTTGTGGACAAAAAGAGATAAAGAAGAAGAAAAATAATAATGGAATAAAATGGCGTCGCTTTATTTCGGCGTGAAGATTCTTCTTTTTGATTTCTAGTGGCCTCTACTTATTATGGCTATTCAGTCACTAGTAATACGTAAATACATTAATAAAAAAGATCATAAAGGGTTCTTCTTTCTACTTTAATCGTTTGAAGCAGTCCATGTAACAAAATTGGTTATGTAGTCGAATAGCATAGAGGTCAAAATGAAGAGATGATGAAGAAAAATAATATAATAAAATAACGTTGCTTTATTTTGGTGGGAAGATTCTTCTTTTGGGTTCTAGTGGCCTCTGCGCAGTGTAGCTATTCAGTCAATTGGAATACAATATATTTTAAGAAGATTTTAAATGATTCTTCTTTCTTTTTTAATCATCTTTGAGCTGGCAATGTAGCTGAATAGCTTTTAAACCTTGTGGCCAAAAAGAGATAAAAAAGAAGAAAAATAATAATGGAATAAAATGGCGTCGCTTTATTTGGGCGGGAAGATTCTTGTTTTGGTTTCTTGTGGCCTCTACTCAGCATAGTTATTCAGTCAATTCTAATGAATTTGTTAAAAGAAGAACTTTGACCGGTTTTATTTACTATTTTATTTTTGTTTCCCGTCATTAAACATACTACAACATAAATAATAATATAAAACAAGAATTTATTATAATTTAACATTAATTTTATTAACTTTATTAACAATTATATAATATAATGCTTGGACATTTTATTAGCCTGATGATGACCCATTCCTCCCACATCACCTCCATTATGTTTAATAGAATGCGAGCCACCCCCAGCAACCTGTTTCTCTCCATTAAAATGACCACCTTCAGCGCTTTCTTTGCTTCCCATCTTCTCCTCCTCGAATTTACCTTCTTTCTTCTTTTGCTCTGCTTCGAATTTCGCATCCTTCTTCTCGCCTTCGTACGACTTTTCTTCGTTTTTACCGAATTCCCCTGCGTTTTGAATTTTGTTAATAAAATCCGAAATTTGTGAAGAAGATTTAAGTTAATTTTGTTTTATTTTACCTTGTTCTCCTTTAGTGGATTTGCGATCTGCCTCGTTGTGTTCTTCATCGTAGATTTCTTCAGTGTTACTGGCTTCGTTTGATTCGTGCGTTGTGTGGAAGCCTTTTACTTTGCGGCCTTTTTTCTGGCCTTTTTTGGCTTTAGAAAGGTCTTCGTTTTTACCTGGAATATTATTCATTTGATATTTATTTTTTAATTATTACTAGAGTCTGGAAAATATGCAAAATGCACGTTAAGTGCATACATGCATCACGGAAAAATTTAAAATGCAAACTGCAAATTTTCAGAATATTTCGTCGATAAATAATTAAAATACGTTAAACTTAATAACAAATAATACAATAGAAACGTTAAAAAATACTTGCAAAACTAAAAGAAACAATCAATGCTCAATCTGAGAACTCTTAAATTTAGTGTTCTGAACTGTTCTGAAGCGTTCTAAATGATTCTAGACAGTTTTAAATCATTCTGTAGCGTTCTAAATTAATCTGTAACGTTCTAAATTATTCTAGAGAGTTCTAAATTATTTTATAGTGTTCTAAATGATTCTGGAGCGTTCTTGATTGATCTAGACAGTTCTAAATGATTCTGGCTCGTTTTAAATAATTCTAGACAGTTATAAATGATTCTAGACACTTTTCAATCATTATGGAGTGTTCTAAATGATTCTAAACAGTTCTAAATTATTCTGGAGCGTTTTAATTGATTCTAGACAGTTATAAATGATTCTGTAGCGTTCTAAATTATTCGGTAGCTTCTAAATAATTCTAGAGAGTTCTAAATTATTTTATAGTGTTCTAAATGATTCTGGAGCGTTCTAGATTGATCTAGACAGTTCTAAATGATTCTGGCTCGTTTTAAATAATTCTAGACAGTTATAAATGATTCTAGACACTTTTCAATCATTATGGAGTGTTCTAAATGATTTTAAACGGTTCTAAATTATTCTGGAGCGTTTCAATTGATTCTAGACAGTTATAAATGATTCTGTAGCATTCTAAATGATTCTAGAGGGTTCTAAATGATTTTTGGAGTGTTCTAAATGATACTAGACAGTTCTAAATGCTTCTGGAGCAGGCTAAATGATTCTAGATAGTTCTAAATGATTTTGGAGCGTTTTAAATGAGTCTAGAAAGTTCTAAATGATTCTGGGGCGTTCTTATTGATTCTAGATAGTGTTCTATCTCATTCTTCTAACGTTTTAATAAGTAATATAATATAATAGTCGTTATTTTATGTGTATATGTCAAATATTTTTCATTCAATGAAATTTTCAAAAATATTTTATTTTTATATCTGATTGTTTTTTATCTCATATTTTTCCATTTTTAGTGCAAATTTTTCAAGCTCTAATTATCACTAAAATACCTTGTTTGGTGAAGACTTGCCCTCCTTGGTAACCTTTGGTATCTTCAAAAAGATTTTTATCGTTTACAATGTTATTGTAGAACCCGGAATTTCCGTTTAGATTCTTCATCATTCCTTTGTCCATGAAGAAATTCGAGTTTCCCTCTCCGAATTGCGCCCCTTGACCCCCGAAGAATTTCTTGTAGAAGAGATTGTCGAATAAATTTTTATTTTCGCCGAAGGAACCGCCGCTTTCTTCGCCGCCTCCTAGGATTTTGACGGGGCCTAATGGTTTGGAATTTGAATTTATTTCAAGGGGAAGAATTAATGGTGTTTAGTGTTAAAAAAGCCACCCCATAGATCCATCCCTGTTTTCATGACGAAGGTGAAACAACGCCATTCGAGCGAAGGAACGAAATTGTAATTTTAAAATCACGAAATTATCTCGTAATTTAAGCGATTTTTGAAAATTTTTAATTCTATAGAAATTGTAGAGAAATGTTTTTTCTTCAAAATGAGATTAATTAGGTTGTTTTATCTCAATTATTTTTCGAGATAATTGCTAATTTCTGTCAAATTTCAGAAAAACTTTGTGATTTCAATGTAATTTTTTAAAAAACTCAAAATATCTCAAAATTTAAGGGATTTTGGTAAATTTTATAAATTGAAAGTTGTAGAGAAATGCTTTTTCTTCAAAATGAGGTAGATTGGGTGTTTTTATCTCAATTAATTTTGGAGATTATTGGCAATTCCCGTCAAATTGCGCAAAATTTAGTTATTTTGATTCAATCTCTTAAAAAAACTGAAATCTCGAAATTTAAGCAATTTTGGGAATTTTTCGATTTTACATTTTCGAATTATTTTTCTTTAAAATGAGATAAATTGGGATTTTTTATCTCAATTAGTTGATAATTGCTAATCTCTCTCAAATTAAACCAAAATCAGTAAGTTCTGTACAATCTCTTAAAAAACTCAAAGTAACTCGAAATTTAAGCGATGTTAGAAAATTTTTAATTATTAAAAAATTTATAGAAATGTTTTTTCTTTAATATGAGATAAATTATGATGAGATATGAGATAATGAGATAAAAACTTTCAATGCAATTTCTTAAAAAACACAAAATATCTAGAAATTAAAGGGATTTTCGGAATTTTTTTAAATTGACTTAAATTGACAGAATTTGACAAACAAATTTTTTTCTTTAAAATTAGGTAGATTAGGTGTTTGTATCTCAATTCGTTTTTGAGATAATTGGTAATTTCCGTAGAATTTTGCAAAAAATTGTAATTTTGATTCAATCTCTTAAATATAAAAAATATCTCGAAATTGAAGCAATTTTGGGAATTTTTCGATTCTATATTTTTAAAATATTATTGTTCAAAATAAGATGACTTGGGAGTTTTTATCTCAATTAATTTTTGACATAATTGCTAATATCTCTCAAATTGAACAAAAATTAGTAATTTCTGTACAATCTCTTAAAAAACTCGAAATAACTCAAAATTTAAGCGATTTTTGAAAATTTTCGATTCTATTAAAATTTTATAAAAGTGTTTTTCTTCAAAATGAGATACATTAGGTGTTTTTATCTGCATTAGTTTTTGAGATAACTGCTAATTTCTGTATAATTGCTCAAAAATAAGTAATTTCGTTTCAATCACTTAAAAACTCAAAATATCTTGAAATTTAAGATATTTTTGAAAATTTTTGATTCCGTAGAAATTGTAGAGAAATGCTTTTTCTTGAAAATGAGGTAGCTTGGGTTTTTTTATCTTAATTAATTTTGGAGATTATTGGTAATTTCCATCAAATTGCGCAAAAATCAGTTATTTTGATTCAATCTCTTAAAAAACTGAAATCATAAAATTTAAGCAATTTTAAGAATTTTTCGATTCTACATTTTCGAAATCTTTTTCTTTAAAATGAGATAAATAAGTGTTTTTATTTAAAATATTTTTCGATATAATTGCTAATTTCTGTTGAATTTCAGCAAAAACTTTGTAGTTTCAATGCCATTTCTTAAAAAACTCAAAATATCTTAAAATATCTTAAAAATATCTTAAAAGAGATTTTGGTAAATTTTTAAAATTGAAAGTTGTTAAGAAATGCTTTTTCTTCAAAATGAGGTAGATTGGGTGTTTTTATCTCAAATAATTTTGGAGAGTTGCTAATTTCTGTCTAATTGCTCAAAAATAACTTATTTATTAAAAAGTAAGTAAATAAGTAATTCCTTCAATCACTTAAAAATTGAAAATGTCTTGAAATTTGTTGAAAAAATGTTGAAAAACTTTTGAAAAATGTTATTTTTACAAAATAAACCAAACAGACTATTGTAAGATTGATTAATTTTCGAGAAAACTGCGATTTTCTGTCAAATTATGTATACCAAGTTTACTAATTAGATACAACTAATAAAAAACTCGAAAATAATGCGATGATGATCCAAAAATCGAAATTTTTATAAAGAAATAAATGGTACTTACCTTTATAAAACCCACCCCCTTGACCCATCCCCATCCCCATCCCCATCCCCATCCCCATCCCCATCATGGGCATGATGGAATCCACGCAATTCCAGCAAATCGAAATTGCCACAACAATTACTGTGAATGAACTCATCGAAGAATTTAAATGGGCGCGAATAACGAGAGAAAAATTATTTATACAAACCCGAATTTTCGCTCTGGCGATTCCAAACGAATTTACAATGAATTTTCCGGTGTTTCCGGAGCCATTTTCACGGAGTATTTGATTGTAAATTAACGGAACCTTCACGGTCGATTAATCGAACGTTTTAATTCGATTAATCGATTTATTCGCGATGATATCGAAAGAGGAAATTAAATAATCGGTGTGTAATTGCGATTTGTTTAATGGTTAAAATCGAATTTACTATTCTCTGTTACTCTTTATTATTTACTACGTTTTTTACCTCTTTATTGCTATGTTCGATTTCGTATTATACCTATTTCTTTGTTACTTTCTTCTTTCATCAACTTGTTTTACTACTTTTACTTCTTCTTCCACTTTTCCTATTGTATTTATTATTATCTATTACTCTTTATTATTTATTCCGTTTTCTACATCTTTATTGGTCTGTTCGATTCGTACGGTACTTCTTTGTTACTTTTTTCTTTCTTCTATTTTTTTCTACTACTTTTACTTCTTTTATTTTTCCTAGTAAATTTTACTTTTATCAATTACTCTTTATTATTTGTTTCGTTTTCTACATCTTTATTGCTCTACGTTTATTGCTAAATCGATCATTCAGAAGCTTCGTCGTATTGATATCAAACCTACAGAATTTTTTATTGCTTCAAAAGTTTTAAAAAAGTTTTAAAAAAACCGAAATATAGCAGATATTATAAAGAATTACAAATTATAACATACATTCAATGTGAATTCTTTTTTATCTTCATGAACACTTTTTCTACTACTTTTACTTCTTCCACTGCTTCTACTTCTTCAACTTTTTCTCCTTCTTACAGTTTCGACTTCTTCTGTTTCTCTTTCTTCTTTTCAATATACTTTTGTTTCTATTTCTATTTCTACTTTTCTTTATACCACTCATTCTACTTCCTATTACACTTATATACTTTTTACTTCTCTTACTACTTTTCTTTCTACTTTCTTCTTCTCATAAAATTCTTTGGTTTTGTTATTTTCCACTTTTTTCTAGGAATTTAATTAATCTCTTAAGTCATAGTCTCTTCGATAAGGTTGTATTGAATAATTAATTGTCTAGGTAGATACTCTATATGTACAAAATTTATTTTATGGTGCTTTTATGAGTAGGCCTTGAAATTACGAAAATTAAATAGTTAAAAAAATCTACAGGAAAATTGCAATTGTAATCTCATCAGATAACAGCAGATGTTATAATAAATACATATTCAATGAAAAATCCGTTTTAATTCGATTAATCGATTTATTCGCGATGGTATCGAAAGAGGAAATAAAATAATCGGTGTGTAATTACGATTTGTTTAATGGTTAAAATCGAATTTATTACTCTTTATTATTCCGTTTTCTACATCTTTATTGGTATGTTCGATTTTGTAGGGACCTTCTTCGTCGCTTTCGTCGTAAAATTCTTCAGTTTTGTTAGTTTCCATTTCTTCCTGAGTGTTTGAAGAACCTCTAATGTCGAAGCCCTTTCGATAAAATTGTTTTACATCTTCTAAAAAAAATTAATAATCATATTACTGTAGGGAGAGTCGGGTATATTTATATTTTACAACCCCCTTTAACCCCCTAATCATCGAAATACTAACAGGTTAAAAATTAGATATATTTGCACTATTTTTTTATTTCCCGAAAATTTGGTTTTCGTTAAGAATTTCGATAATGAAATGGCGTTTATGGGAAGTAATTAGTAATAAATTGATAAATACAAATGAATAAAAATCGACTGGCCAATACCTTAAAATATGGTGTGATCTATTTGAAAAAAACAAAGTTATGGCCACATTATTTTGCCCAGGTTAGTCAGACTATTTTAATTAAACGCCCTGTATACAAGGTGTTCCAATAGTGCGGTAAAGCTTATTTACTCAGTAATTATAATAGATATGAAAAAGTGGTAAATAGTAAAAAATTTTATGCACCTTTAGGCGCATAATTTAAAATTATTTCGAAATATACAGGGTGGCTCATAAATCGAAGCCGTACCAAACATACCTTTTTTTAAAGACAATGATATATTTTTTATTTCATATTCGATTTCAGCTCGTTTTCACGAGTTTCTCAATATAAGATTTCTTATGACTATACTGATTATTTAATAAGTTGTGACCAATTTTATGTTCAAATCGTCATGACTTCAAGACCCTGTATATCAGAATTTTTGTTAGATAATGGGAATTTTTCTGTATCAGCACTTTTTACAAAAGGGTCTATTTTCAGAAAAATTAGTTACATTTCGACAAAATTACAATTTGTATACAGGGTGAGTCAAAACGCAAACTTAATAATTACCCGCTTAATTTTAATGGAACACCCTATATAAATAATATCCAATGGGAAGCCTATTTCTTACTGAATCATTTTTCATAACATTTCCCTATAACTAACTGTCACCGTTTCTGAAATATTTTTAGTTTTATTAAAAAATGTCCAAAATGTCCAACTTTTTAAATACTCTCTCCACTAGTCATAAGAAATCTTATATTGAGAAACTCGTGAAAACGAGCTGAAATCGAATATGAAATAAAAAATATATCATTGCAATTTAAATAATTTTAAATTATTCGAGTAAAGGTACTTAACATTTTTCCTATTTACCATTTTTTCATATCTATTATAATAACTGAGTAAATGAGCTTTACCACACTATTGGGACACCCTGTATGTATCATGAAAACTCAGTTCATTAGTATTTTGTCTGGATATTATCGATACCAAATTTTAAACTTCTAGGTACATTATTAATAGAATAATCATAGGAAACATTCGACGGTTTTTCCAAAAAAAAAATCGAATAAAACTTAAATAACTTAAAAACAACTAAGTTGTAATTTCTTTGAAAATTGTACATTTCGGCATATATTTATGGTGCTATTATCAAAGTCTAGTTAAAAAGGACCACAGAATTCAAAAATCAAATCAAAAATGACACTTTCCGGTATAATTGGAATTCTGAAATGGTTAAAAATATTTTAGAAAAACTCCTAAATTTTCCGATTCTAAGTTCTAACTAATAAACGGTTACAGTGGAAAATCCTGCCTAAATTATTGTGCAAGAACGGCATTTTTCAAACGAAGAAAATGCTGCTAATAAAATCAAAATAAACCGACATTCTCAGCACAACTAGGAATAATAGTACAGGAAAATAGTAGCGAAAAAAGTGTAATATGACCACGAAATATGACATGTCTACGAAGCTTTTCTAATTCTAGATGTACTTCTAAAATTTCTAATGAACAACTACCATAAAAAACCCTGTATACAGAGTGTTCAAATAAAAAATCTTAAAACAAAATCGGCCAAAAGAAAATTCTGAAAATTATTAAAGCCTCTAAAAAAGGCCGCTGTGATGAGTATCCGCCATCTTGATTTTTAAAAGTATGTTTTTGTTCAAAGTTTTCCTAGATAAAGGTAATAAAGGAGATAATTGCAATTTTTTTTTGTCTCATATTTTTCACACTGTAATCATTTAAAATAAAGTGGTAGCGGTATCTGAATATTTCAACAAATAAATGTTAATCATTTTTAAACGCCCGAACGGATTATTAATAAAAGGAAATTGTCAAAAAGGGTTTTCTTTGGTCTATAACTTACACTACAAGGGTAGGTTGAAAAGTTCTCGGCCTGATACACTGAAGGCGCTCCAATTAGCAAAAATTCTTGTTTATTCTTTGCGTCCTTTATAATTAATTCTAAAACTGCCTAGAACCATTTAGAACGCCCCAGAATCATTTAGAACACTGTCTAGAATCATTTAGAACACTGTCTAGAATCATTTAGAACACTGTCTAGAATCATTTGAAACTGTCTAGAACCATTTATAATGCTCCAGAAACATGTAGAACTGTCTAAAACCATTTAGAACGCTCCAGAATCATTAAGAGCTGGTCTAGAACTGTTCAGAATGCTCCACAAACATTTAAAACTGTTAAAAACCATTTAAAACCCTTCAGAATCATTTTAGAACTTTCTAGAACCATTTAGAATGCTCCAGAAACATGTAGAACTTTCTAAAATCATTTAGAACGCTCCAGAAAGATTTAAAACTGTCTAGAATCATTCAAAATGCTCCACAAACATTTATAACTGTTTGAAACCATTTAGAACGTTCCATAGTGATTTAGATCGCTCCAGAATCATTTAGAACGCTCCAGAATCATTTAGAACGCTCCAGAATCATTTAGAACGCTCCAGAATCAATTAGAACCATCTAGAAACATTTAGAACTGTCTAAAACAAAAGATTTTAACTTTATAGGAACAATCATATAATTTTTTAACTGAAAATCGTGGTCTTTCATTACCAGGCCGAGAACTATTCGCCTTACCCTTGTATACAAGATTTTATTGCAAATGCTTGCTTTTTCCGACATAACCTCAAATAACACCGGTTTTCTCAATAATTTTAAATGCAACGATATAACTTTTCCTTTGGAAAAATTCAAATAATATAGTCAAATAATAGCCAAACAAGACTGTGAAAACCGCATCTCGATATCCTTTTCCTTACCCTAAATAGATGTATCTAAAAAAAGAGAAATCCAAAAAATTGGAGATGTTTTCTAAAAACATCTCATTATATGTATAAGCCTCTAATTACATCCTAATTAACCCCTAATTAGCCTCTAATTAGTATGTAGATACTAGTATAGTTACCATCATCATCATCATCATCATCATCATCACCACCATTTTGAAATTCCTCTGCACTATCACCAAACGCCCCTACCACTTTTTTTCCGTCATCAAAGTCTCCCGTGAATTTCTTCTCTTCTTTGGAAGAATACTGGAATCCTCCGGTATTGGGATGGAACAATCCCAATCCCCTGAAAGGGTAACTAGAGTCCAGAAACCTGGAATCCGGATAACGG